TAGATTTCAAAATACTGCTGCTGGTTTATAAAGCACTGAATGGTTTAGGCCCAAAATACATTTCTGACCTCCTGCTAAATTATGAACCATCCAGATCTCTCAGGTCTTCAGGGACTGGTCAGCTTTCTGTCCCCAGAGTCAGAACTAAACATGGTAAAGCGGCATTCAGTTCTTATGCTCCAAATATCTGGAACAAACTCCCAGAAACCTGCCGGTCCGCTGCAACTCTGACTACTTTTAAATCCAGGCTGAAGACTTTTCTTTTTGTCGCTGCTTTTAATTGAACTATTCACATCTTAAACTGTGCTGTAACTTTTATCCATGTATTTTTTCTTTTAATGTTTATTTTATTATCTTTTCTTTTTAATGACTGTTTTTAAATGCCATTTTCTTAATGTCTTTCATTTTTGTAAAGCACTTTGAATTGCCGTGTTGAAAGGTGCTATATAAATAAACTTGCCTTGCCTTACAAATCTAAAATGTAGATATATGTCCTTGAACAGCAATCAGCTAAATAAGATAAGATGGACTTTTATTAATCCCTCATGGGGAAATTGTTTCTCTGCATTTGACCCATCCTAGTGTTTAGGCGCAGTGTGCTGCCATGAAATGAAGGCTATGTTTGTCAACAAACAATTTGAAGATGACACAGTGGTCCATTGGAACAAGCGATGGACATTTTAACTAGTCTAGTGATTAATTCAAGGAAAATAATTACTAGCAGAAGCCTTCTTCCGAAGTGATGGCAGTAATTTGAATCAAAGTATCAGTAGAAACAATCTAAGTGGATCTGTGATTTGTTTCTTTATAGACATGGACGTCTCGTTGCCTGATGAAATATTACGCCACTGTGGCTGCCGCCTCCTCTGTGCTGAACAGTCAGGACACAGTGGAGAGGATAGAGAGGAGGGTGCTGGACTCCAACCCCATCATGGAGGCTTTTGGTGAGTGATCTCTGGTGTCACATTAAAGGAAAATATATATTCTTTTAACTTGAACCCTTTTTACCCATGTTTTTGTGTCCAAGTGAGTAATGGGCCACAACAGTTTTTTTTAAATTGGACCAGTTTTGAGCTTGAGCACTTTGGCCTGGTGCCACTATTTCTCTGTAATGTTGTCAGATACTTATAATAACAATCTGGGTCAGTAGCAAAAACAAACACTTCAGTTGACTTACAATGGAATTGCAGCCCACTTCTGGACCAATTTCATAAATTGTTGTTCCCATTAGTCATTTTTAGACAAAAAAACAGGGGATAAAATGGTGAGGGGTCAGAAATGTAACTCTTAATGTGAAAATAACCACACTTTTCCCTTGCTGTAGGCAATGCCTGTACTCTGAGGAACAACAACAGCAGTCGCTTTGGAAAGTACATCCAGCTCCAGTTAGACAGGTGCTCACAACTGACCATGCTGCACTTTGTTTTTCATCATGTGAGATAGCATTGGTTCAGGTTTAATCTCTCCAACTTTTTATTTTGTATATGAAGGCGTCAGCTGTTAGTGGGGGCGTCTGTACAAACGTACTTGCTGGAGAAGACAAGGGTGGCCTGCCAACCGGTTAATGAGAGGAACTTCCACATCTTCTATCAGGTGAGTTAACAGGGCTGCACTTGATTATTTAATGTTAACACAATGTATCATAGAATTAAATGCAAAGAGCTTATTGTTTTCCAGATGCTGAAGGGGGCCACAGATGAGCAGAGGAAGGAGTGGAAGATGTCATGTGGCAAACATTTTGTGTGGCTGCCAAATTCAGAAAAAACAGTCGAGGGTTGGTCTTTGCATATGTTTTTATTATGTTTTTTTCTTTTTATTCTTTATGTTTAGTGATTCTTACAACAAACTTTTCTTCATGTTATTTTTTATAGAGGATTCCTTTCAGGAGACTGTCGAGGCAATGGTTCATCTGGGCATCAAAGCAGAGAGGCAGAGGCAGTTATTCAGGGTAAGGGACTCTCAAAGGAAACACTTATTGGCTAGTTAATAATACACTTTAATGTATTTCTAAGTAGAGAAAGGAAATTTTCAATGTTAAATGAATGTGGGGTGTTTGTTAACACTTATAACCATCAAATGAACACATATTTATATTATTATTTCTGCAAACAACTACATTGTGGTGTGGTTGAATACACACAATGTATTCATTGTTTATAAACTGCTTATGCATGCTAAATGTGGGGCTAAAGTACAGTGTTATATCATCATCTTTTTCAGTTACATTTTTTAAATGTTCTTTTTTTCTTTGTAATATAGTTTAATTTCTCTTTAATGCATTACAGATACTATCAGGGATTCTGCAGTTGGGGAATCTGAATTTCTCTTCAATGGATGAATCACAGCCTTGTGACCTAGATGAGCAATCTAAAGGTATTGAAAATGATTTTGTTTGAGGTATCTTCTTGTTCTTTTCCAGTTATTATGTGCTTAAAATGTCCATTGTCTAAAAATCTTAGGCTGACATAAATATAGTATGATGCTCAAGGGATTTCTTTTTAAAGGAAAGGTCTGGGACCTAAGAACAGGTGAAAAGTTCTGCCAGGAAATTATTTCAAATTTCCTAAAATGAGTATTACAACAACAATCCCTCCTCTCCCCCCTGCTCCTCTTTGAGGCAGAAGCAAAGACTAGTTTTAGCTCTCAACAAGTTTTAAAAGTGTATCTTACCTTTTTTCACCTAGTTAATGTTTTTTACTAATCACTACCCCCTCAAATGGAAATATGTGTTTCCATAAATGGTGACCAAACCGTTTGAGACCCACTGAGAAATTAGACTAAGTTAACTATCTAAACACTCAGAGTCCTTTACCTCAGGGGTTCCCAACCTTTATTGTGCCAAGGACCGGCAGATACATTAAAAAAAATGTGCGGACCGGTTGTCAATTTTAGCTGATTTTAATATTTACTTACCAGCAGGTGGCAACAGAGGCTAATTGTATTTAACAGCCTGAAGGAATACCAATATGCATCCAAAACATATTAATAACGTTTAAAACCAGGATACAATTAAAACAAAAAATTAGGACCGCTTTACAAATATTAATATAATATAGCCTAATATAGGTGGCTAATTGTATGTAACAGCCTGAACAAATAATAGAACAATATGCATCCAAAACGTATTAACAACGTTTAAAACCAGGATACAATTAAAACAAATTAGGACCACTGTACACATATTGATATAACTGAAATGTCAGGGAGACCCCTGGGCTTGTTTGCCAGCCATAATAACGTCATACCGGGGCGTTCGTTCCGGTGCACTCCGACAGCATTTAGCACTACATCGAGATTAAGATTAAACTAACTTCTTTTGGGAACACCCACATACCTATGGAGTTGGCCAGATGTGTGTAAATTA